AAGATGGCCGCCACGTGCGGACGTCGACCCCCATTGGCCAGCAGCGCGGACGAGACATCTAGCCTTTATTATGGATATCTATGCCTTCACTACTGTAGCTGTTGCGGCGAACGCCCCCTTTGTTTACATCAGCTGTTTGAGCGTGAGCACGCAGCTTACCTGTGTGCAATCAATCCGTCAATCAAAAGAAGGTGAGACAAACTTCCTAGTTTGAGCAGAGGATGGCAGCATGAAATAAAAAGCCTGCCGTTTATTCGGGCAGTGGAAGAAGCTGTGCAAAGTTTGCATTGAGGAAGCGAAGGACTGAACAGACAGCTGGTAAGCTTCCGTTTAATCCTGTTGTGAATAGAATGTATGATGCCACTGATGAGGCATTGAGACGTGCTGGAAATGTTTGTTTGTAGTGTTGTTAAGCTTATAAATACTCACACAGTGCATCATGAATGGCTTATAAGGCTTCTTGAAGCTTTGCTTTATTAAGTCGGAGAAATGCTGGTGTAACTTTGTTCAGTGATTTGTTTAACGTTGTGGTTCAAACGGTCCAACTTAATGTGCTTGTGTTGCACGGGTGATTTTTGCATCTTTCTTCTGTGTGATTAAAATGGACTTCTAGTATTCCACAGTTAAAATGAAATATTTAAAACAAACTAAAAATCACTCACTGGTTATTTACTATTGCTATTTAGGAATTCATGTAATCTATGGGGTTAAATAACCTGCATAAATCCACCTCCGTTGTTAAAATGCTTTAATACTTTGTTTTGATGCATTTTTTTATGACAATTAGAAACTAAATGGTCTTAATTTAACTAAAAACATAGTCTAATTTCATAAATATATTTAATGATCCATTTCTCAGAAGTATTACAATGTGCAATATGGTAAATGCTTTTTTGGTTTCATTTCTTTTAAAGGTTTTTCACCTGCTTAATTAAATGATTATCTGTAAACAACACAAGAAGAAAAGGAAAAAGGAAAAGATGAAACAACAGTTTGGTCATTGAGTGGAATCCAGTTTGATGTTCAGCTTAAGCTGAACATCAAGCACAGCAAAGATTGAATCACTTGACAGTAGCTTTTGGGACAAAAAGAAAAAATGAAACAGAAGTCACCTATAAGAACTACTGCTCCTCTCCAAGACAAAGAAAGAAGCAGAGTCAAAGACAGAATGGCCCCCTGCAGCAGGGAACCTTGCTTTCTGTAAACGGCAGGTTTATCTCCTCAAACATGATCCTGTAGGTTCATATCTGAAGCAAAAACACAGCCTGCTCTTTGTTCATGAACCAGAATTAACTTTGAACTTGCAAAGTGTAAAGCTTGACCCACGAAGTGCGGCCCTGATTCCTCAGATTAGTGCCAGTGACATCACTATTGGAGAAAACGTGAGCTGAGGGAAGATTATCTGTTCATTTCCTACACAGAGAGACCAACAGCGTTCTTCCTTCCCCACCTTGTGTACTCTCTCAGTCACACGGCCTGTGGCCGCTAGGATACAACAAACACCTCAGGGAGGAACACAGCAGTGGAAAATGTAAGATTGCTGAAGAAAGAGGGTGTCTGGGGAAGATAAAGAGGCCATTGTAGGTAACCGTGACGACCCTTCTGCTGGACTGACAAAGACAAAGCATTGCCAGTGGAGCTAGAGCTGCTCCCAGTTCACTGCTTCCTAAATGTTTTAGATTAGCACAATGATTTTAGTATTAAACAAAGATAATACTAAATGGTGCTGAGGCCCAATTACTGCCTGTCCTGTATGAACAATAACCTTGTTTGAACCCTAATAATTAGACACTCCATTTTAAATCTCTGCATATCTGATACTGCAGTGCTGTCAGTAGATGTGTAAATATTAGAATATGTGTTACTGATGAAGAGTAAATATAGGGACATAGGGACCCCCTTTTTCATCATTCTGCTTCATCCTCTGACATGGGAGCTGGCTCGGAGCTCGTCTGCCTGGCTGCATCTTTCCTGGACGGAGCAGCCTGCGGAGCTGGTTGACAGTTGCCTTTTGTATCTATGCTTCTTTTTCTATGTCTGCTTTTGTCTCCTTGAACCCCAGTCGGCCTCAGCAGATGGCCGCTCACACTGAGCCTGGTTCTGCTGGAGGTTTCTTCCTGTTCAAAGGGAGTTTTTCCTCTCCACTGTCGCTACAAGCATGCTTAGTGTGAGGGATTGCTGAAGAGTCAATGAGTCGATGCAATCAGCTGATTTTCCTTAGATAGAAAACTTTGAATCAATCTGACTGTATGATCAGGTGAACTGTAAAGTGACCTGAGGTGAGATGATGTGAATTTGACCTGTAGAAATAAACTGAATTAAACAGAAATAAATTCAGTTCTATTCAGTTTATTTCTACAACTCAAATTCACGTCATTTTACAGAGACCTGAAATGTCTTAAAATCATGCTTTCAGGGTTCCTACAGCATAAGGCAAGTTAAATTCAAGACTTTTTAACTTTTTAATGCCACTTGAAATAAAAATTTAAGACCAAATTCACAAGAAAAACAAGAAAAACCTGCTTGCGACAACTTAACCCAGAGGTTTATTTTAACATAAACCACTGCACTAATGTTTCAGATTTTGAAAAGCTTCCCATACAAGAAGAAAGCTAAAAACACACAAATGACAGATATATTTGAACAATTATTTAACTGAATTCACAAACTTTGTTTTAGCAGAGAACAAAACAACTCAGTTTTAAAGTCTTTTTTGCAGCTATTTTTCTTTGTATGGTTTTCTTAGTATGTTTGATTTG